AATTTGCATTTCCCTGATAATTAGCGATGCGGAGCATCTTTTCATGTGCCTGTTGGCCATCTGAATTTCTTCTCATTCACTGATTTTTAACAAACACTTTTAGAAAGTCCTGTTCCATATGTAAACTCTTTTTATCTTCACTCTTACTATATTTAAAAGTACTGTTATTATGACTGTTTTACAAGTAAAGGCATTGAAACAGAAAACCTATTACAGTTTCTAGAATAGCTTATCTTGTTAAAAGGCCCTTGCATATGCTATTTCTTCTTCATGGAACCTCCACGTTCCTAGTCCTCTTTCTCAGGCTAACACCTGCTCATTCTTTGGGTGTCTCTTCAGAAGAATTTCCCTTATCCTTGAGGCTTAATTTCATTTCCTTGCCTTATGACCCATATTACGCTATGCAGGATTACAATAATCTGCATGTCCATTTTCTTTTCTGGACTCTAAGTTTGTTGTAACTATGTGTATAATTGCGATTCCATAATTATTTTCTGAATGATTAATGGAGCATCAAGTGAGATACCAAATGGTAAAGTGCTTTGAAAATGATAATGACCATAAATATATTGCTTATAAGTCTGTGTAATATTGAGACTCAAAAAACAAAGAGCTTTTGCTAAATAGTTGAAAAGGTATGGTCTGTTTGGTTACTTGAATTTTTTTTTAACTTCCTAAGTATCAATAGACTAAAATGGACATTACATGGAATTTCATATGTTCATGTGTTCATTATTCCATTTATATAATATTTATTTATATAATATAAATATTATGTAAAAAAATACTATGCTAAGGCCTAGACATGCAATTTTAATGCAACAGTAAACCAGAAACAGGAAGATTTCATGGTCATTTGTTGTGGAGTGGCCACAGGGTCAGGAAACTGCCAAAAATCGGGTGCTGGAGAGAGAAGAAAAATAAGGAGACATCTTATGAAATTTCATCCTACCAGCAACTCTGATGAAAGTTCGGGGTTATTCGTATCTCAGGGAGCTTTTAGTTGGTTGGGTAAGCAACAGCTAATGTGCACTCTGTGGACTTGAAATGTTGCAAAGCAAATCTACCACAATTCAGTAAGTTTACTGGATGCTTCCAAATATTAATGCAGATCTCAGAGAAAGAATAACTGTCTTACCTTAATGGTGATTTGTCCATCATAACCCAGGTAGGGACAAGAGTCAGTACATGCAGCAGAGTGTTGAGAAGCCTGGGAGGTACAACATAAGAGTATCCTTAATGGAATGGCTTAATGTGTATCTAATCTGATCATGTATCTAATCATGGTCTGAAAATAAAATACTTGGATCTGATGAGCCAATAAAGGCATGTTAAGTCAAGGATAGGGAGAATATTCTAGATGTAAAATCCTTAAACAAGAATAATTTGACATTCCACAGTTACAAAAAAACTAGTCAGCAAATTTTGAATATTTTACGTTACTAGAAAAATTGACTTGGCTGACTAGCATATTAACGAAAGAGATTCTATAAAAGCAGAGTAAAAATTTTCATCTTCAAAATTTCCTAGTTTTTACTCAGGCTAGTTATGAAAATGTTATATATAAAATGAAAAATAAATCTAAAAGATTTGATAGATTATGTAGCTATTTTATACTGACTACTTAAATAGATGAGTGAAAGCCATTTCTTAATTGTGGGTGGTTAAAGATACATTTTTTTGCCTTGTGACTGCCTTGGTTATATGTGTTCAAATACTAGCATTCTCTTTATTAACTTAGATTTTGTTTTTGTTAGAAAAACAATGTGGGTGAACCTATAATAATGAATAATTAAATTAGAGATTGTTATGTAAAGTAACTCATACAATCCCCATAATATTGACAGTAATGATAGGATTATTTGCATTGCTTAAAAACATGGTATTTACTCTGAGTAGAAAATAAGAAAATGATTTGTTGTTATTTTATTGCAGTAAAATTACTTTTAGTATAATTTGAAAATCTCAAATGTGGATTGTTGAGTCATAACCAAAGCATATTCTTGTGTAATTAATGTCTCAATTAAGATGTAAAACACTTTATCACTGGAGAAAATTCTCTCATACCTTTTTCCAGTCAATCTCCCTGGTGCACACCCTCGTAAGCAAGCACACCTCTTACTAATAGCCTTATAGATTAACTAAGAAATACTTTTTAAACATGTCTCATAATTTAGCAAAAACTATAGTGAATACCCTTTTTTAAAGGTTATCTAAATAAAGACTTTCTATATTAAAAGGCAAAATTATTTCAGATAGGAGAAAGAGCCAATGTTGGATTAAAAGTGGAAGGGAAAAATATTTTCAATTTGATTCCATTAAAAATACCTGCCAATTAAATAACCAAGACTTGTTCTTATAAAAGTGATATGAATAGTAATGGCTTATACAGTTAACACAAGGACATTCATTCTATAAGCCCTCCAATAAGAAGCCCCTTTCCACAGAAGATAAAGGTACATATTGGGTGGAACAATAGACTCTTTTAAAAAAAACTGAACATTAAATATGCAAGAGTATAAAGTATCTCCCATAAGTAGATTTCAAACTCCAGAACCAGAAGTTGATCTCATTCAATTTTAATGTTCTAAAGACCCCAAGTCATAGGAAATAGCTGTTTGTCAAAAATAGTTGTTGCCTGAATGTTTACTTTAAACACTTATTGGCATGAACTCTTCTGATACCTCCACAACCTAAACAAACAGACAAAAAAAGGAGTCCTTATTTTGGGACTCTATAGTAGGATAGATCAACTTGATCGATTATATGTGCTGGAATTAGTGTTTGCATCATCTAAATCAAGGGTTGCATACTTAAATGTGAACGAGGACTAAACTAATTGTATATCAGAATGAAACAAGCCTTGTGGGAACTAATGAGTGCATGACTCTAATAATAGCCCAGAAATTGTTACCATGAGGACCCACTTGCCATGGAGGAGGGAGCCCCAACAGCAGTTTTAGTTATTTAGGAACTCAACTGTCAAAAGAAGGTGCCCAAGCAAGGAGGAAGTAGAGCAGCAAATACTCTCAATCTCCCTTTTCTCCTGCCCACTGATGACTCATGTACTTCCCATCAGCCAAATTACATGGCAAGCCAGTCAGTTAGGAGTCCAGGTGATGTAGTCTGTAGGGGTCAGCCATCCTGGACCCAGCGCAGGGCAGAAAGGTAGAGAGCAGATCTCTGGTGCCAAATAGACCATAACCAAGACAAGGAGTAGGCAGGTATTTCCTTATAAAAGTGAGAGAAAAAGATATAAATCACTGGTATAGTGATGCAATTCTGTACCTTGTTATGTAATGCTGCTGTGCTTTTATTTTAAATTAAAAGGATGTGTAATATTTGAAGCTGTGGTGGACACATTGAAGCAGGTATATGTGCTACTCAAATATGAGATAAACTATTTTCAATTTACTAGGTAGTTACTGTTTGACTGCTGTTCACAAAGCCTGCGTTGGGATGATATGATATTCTTCTCTTCAATCAAAGACAGAACAAAGAATAGACTTACAGTACAAGATGAAGAATTTATCATTAGTATTAGTAAGACTATGACATAATGTTAAATATTTACTTGTCTGAGAAGACTTAGATTAGCACAACCTGCAGACAGAGCTGTGCAATCAGTTTTTCTTCATACCTAGGTGTCGTAATTTTTCTTCCTAATGGAAGAATGATATTCATCTAGAAATAGAAAAGCTGGAATTTAGTAATTCCTGCTCACAGGTCCAAAGAAATGTAATCTACTCGTAAGGCCAATTTATGGGAGTAAATTGCTTTAGAATTTTTCCTGTAAACACAAGCGAAGAGATGGCAGTCAGCATCAGTAACGTATGCTTCTACATGCCCATATAGAATCACTCTGTGGGATTTGTTTATGAGCTTCAATGTCAGAACTACAGTCAACAATAGAGGCAATCTCCAGAAAAGTGTTTAAATACTATGCATTTGTTTACTATATTTTACCATATGTGACTGCACTACAAATGAAATGAATTCAACCTTTTTTTGCTCAAGTCATTTGAAAAACAACTTACAAAGAAACCTTTCCATCCACATGAAAAGTGTATTAGATTCTTAGAGCTGCTGTAACAAACCGGGTGCCTGACCACAAGAGCAATTTCTACATTTACAGTTGTGGAGGTGAAAAGTCCAGAGTCAAGGTATCTTCAGCACCGTTCTCTCTCTGAGACCTGTCAGGGAGTCCTTCCTTGCCTCTTCCTGGCTGCTGGTGGTTTCCGAGTAATCTTTGACATCCCTTGCTTTGCAGCTGCGTATCTCTGAGCTCTGCTTTCGCCATCGTGTCATTCTCTGTATCTGTTTTCACACAACTGTCTTCTAAGGACGCCAGTAATATTGGATTAGGGGCCCGCGGTACTCCAGATGACTTCATCTTAACTAATTACATGTACATTCTCAGGTACTGGGAGTTAAGACATCAGTGAATCTTTTCCAGGGGACAATCCATAACAGAGAATAAGCAATAAAAATTTAAGCACATATCTAGAAATGGGAACTAAGAAGGTTCCTGTAAAATTGTTTTTTATCTATTTTTCTAACAATGACAAAAAATTCTGATATTCACTTACATACCTTTTGGTTTTCCTTAACTGATGCAGAAACAGCCAGTTGAAATGTAAACAAATTAAATAATAAGTATCTTTAAATATGTTTAGATATTAAGTTTTCTACCACCCATCCCATTCTATTGCCAAGTTTTCTTGTTATTAATAGTACTTTAGAGTTTTAGGGATATTAATCAGAGGATAAATTAGGGTAAAATTAGGGTAGGATAGCATTAGAGAAAGAAGGTTAGTTTTAGAGTATTGTAGCTGAGGCTAGAGATAATGGGCTCTAATTTAGATTTTAATGAAGATAGATAGAAAAGAGGCAACATGGTATGCTGTGGGACACTTTGGTTTTGATATCTACTGGTTCTATTACAAGATTGTACATGAGCAAGAATCTTCTCTGAAAATACCAAATTTTCCTTTTGATAGGGAAACAAGGAACTTTATTGTAAGATAGGCAACTCAAAAAATGTCCGAGAAGAATAGGTGGGAAGATGAGACTTGGAAGCCTGGGGAGAACCCTTACAGGCAATGGGAAAGTTTAAAAGGCCCTGGATGAAAAGCATGCCTGGAAGATTCAAGGAAGAACAAGGAGGCCAATGTGTTTGGAACACAGTGACCAAGATGGGCGCGCCGCGGAACCATGATGGAAGGATAAACAGGGCCTGTGGAGCACTGTGAGGGCTTCTGACTTGTACTCAACCCCAGTGAAGCAGAATTCCTTTACAGACGCAGAAGCTGTGGCTGCTCTGTTTGAAAGGAAACACTACAGGTCACTGAGACAGTAATAGAAGTGGAAGCTTCTGTCAGGACCTCTACCACAACTGCTTATGAAAGTGCAATTCCTTGGCCATGCTTACCAGAAGCAATTCCATGTCATGTCTTTTTTCACTCTGTTCTTTTCCAAACAGAGGTCTCTAATGGCTGTGTCTGGCTGTCAGAGTTTAGGTCACAAACCTTTAAAAGGGTAGGTGAAATCTTCTGGCTTCTCCCTGAAGTAGGTATGACAATGCAAAAATTCCCAAACACAGGAAGGGTGTTCAAAGCATGTAAAAATTTGTAAATGTACAAACCATCTACAAATGTCCAGTAGAGACTGAAGGATGTGTGAAGGTTGAGAAAGGAGGAAAATGTGAAGTTAACCCTGAGTGTTCAAGTCCAAGAAACAAAGGGTTTAGTGGTAACTTTAACAAAAATGCCAGAGGAAGAGTAAATTTGTAGGCAAGAAAGTGAATTTTGTTTAAAACAAGGGAAATTTAAGTTAGGACACATCATGTGGAATTATTCACTAAGAAATGGAAATGAATGTGAACAGAGGGATAAAACTGAGAACTAAGGCTATTGATGATGCTAAAAGTTTTGAGGCCAAATTCATGGATTGCCCATAGGCATGAAGCATTTATATATTCTTTTTTGATAAGCAGTGAACATTTAACCAGAATTGGAAATGAGTGATAACTGCATTTTGTTGTTTACAGGGGATAGGAGTAGCAAGGTAAGACTGTTTTGAATATGGTACAGGAGAAAAGAGAAATGTTTGATATAGACATAGAAAAATTGGGAGTAAGAGTGATAGAGTATGATAGAGAATTTAAACATGATAAAGAGGAGATAGTTGCAAAGGAGATGGGGTCAAAGTGTTGTGTTTTGTTTTTGGTCTAAAAAGAAAATCATTTCTTACCAGGTAGGTACAAAGAAAATAAACTTTTTCAGAAAAAAATTGAGCTGAGGATATGGGAATTTTAGGAAAAATCCATTCTAATTTTTTAATTTGTTTTTGTCATAAAATCATACAAGATTCTGTGTTGAAAACTGAATTATTATATAGAAATGATTGAAGTATAATAAAGGAAAATGTCCTCATTATATCCTCTCCATTTGTCCTACACTAGCCTATACCCCAAGACTAATCATACTGTAAAAATTTCACTGTGCAGTTGAGACAGTGTGTACATGTATATATATATATGTGACACATACATAATGACATGGGATTTAGAGGTGAGTCTTGGAATCAATGGGTTTGTGACAAACATGGCTGTGAGTAAATACTAAACTATGGATACTATTTCTTTCAGGCTTTATTAGTCCTGGTAGATTATGTCAAGCTGTAATAAAGTATTCCCAAAATTTCAGTGGATTAGCAAACAGATTGATTTCTCACTTAGTTCTCATTTATAATTCAAGTTAGTGCAGGACTTTACTCCATAAAGTCATTCAAGGATCCCAGTTGACAAAGACTCAAGTTTTTGTAGTTGTACCATCTGGAACATATAGCCTTTTTCTTAAAGCTTCAACCTGCAAGTGACATACTTCACTTCCCTTTCTAGCCCATTGGCCAGAGCTAGTTACAGGGCTATGCCTTACCACAGTGGGACCGGGATATGTTGGAAAGCACAACTGTAGTTACCTGGCAGTAAAAGACTCTGCCATATCGACTCACAGGCACCTCAAATTACTAATATGATGCTGGAGTTTCTAGTTAAAGATGGGGGAATAATAGTTAATTATCACAAAATTGGTAAGTAAATATCAACTTTCTATGACAACTTAAGTGTATGACTGACTCCAAGTGATCAGCTTTTTCCCAAAAATATTTAAATGACATAGTTTCATATTATAAACATATGCAAACAAATTAAAAAATTCCCAACGATACAGAGAAGATTAGCATGGCCCCTGCACAAGGATGGCACTCAAATTTGTGAAGCATTCCATATTAAAAAAAAAAAAATTCCCTAAAACCAAGCACATATAACATAACCTTCTTTATTAACAGTTCTATTCCACAGGAAATTACACTAAACTTGTAAAGGTTGGCTATCTCACAGCTATAGGTCAAGAAGAATTAGAATAGATAAAACAAATCTTTATAATTTAGAAAGATCATGGCCCTTATTAGGATACAGACATTGACAGGAATATGCAAAATATGTATAGAATCAACCTAAATTTTATGATGTCTTACATAAATATTCATTAAACCTTTTCTTGTCTACATATTAAAGCAATGTTATAAGCACTGTAACATGTATCAACCCATTTAGTCATATCAACAATGTGATGAATTAGTTGCTGTTTTTGTTCCCATATTTAATAAGAGAACTGTAAGAGGCAGATGAGTGCTTAATATGCTATAACACTGACATGAAGAGTTTCACGTTTGTTAAATATTCTTCATTGGACTGCTACCTGTGATGTGTGGCTTCTCTGTTTTCCTTTGTTTTTCTAACCACGTTTGAGTTAAAGAATAAATGGCTTCTAATTTTCTGTTTGTGCAAACATACATATATGTTTACTTTCACATAAAAAGATGACAAACTGCATATGCTAACAGTTTTATATCCTGAAATTTTTGATTATCAACTAGAGATCCTTCACCGGTGCTCTACTGATAGGCAATTAAGTGTTTTCCCTCAATTATCCCATTGCAAACAGTGTCTCATGAATAGCTCAGTTAAAGCACATGTACATTTCTTTGCCAAAATCTCCTCCTAAAATTCTGAACTTACTCTTCCTACCTATAGTGTTTGTATTTGCCTTTTTTCCTTTTTTTTAAAACAAACCATTGTCAACATGTGACAGTATGTGACAGAAAAAAAAAGCTTTTCACTTATGAACATTAACATCCTGTATACATTTTTTATAAACTGCTGTTCATCTTCTTTGCTTATATGTAATTGTCATTTTCTTACTAACATAAAAGAGCTCTTGGTATATGTGACATGCTAAAAACATCACCCCTCCGAAGATATCTTCATCCTAATCCTTGGAATCTGTTCATGTGTACCTCACATGGCAAGAGACTTTGCAGAAGGATTTAAGTGAAAGATCATGGGGAAATACTGGATTACCAGGATGAACCCAATGCAATCACCAAGGTCCTTGTGAAAAGGAAGGTGAGAGTCAGAGATGGAGATGATGACAGAAGCAGAGATCTGAATGATGCCATTACTGTAAGAACCCTGCAAGCCAAGGAGTTGGGCAGCTTCTGGATGCTGGGAAAGGTAAGAAGTGATTCTCCCCTAGAGCTTCCAGAGAACTAGACCAGCTAAGACCTTGATTTTAACTTGTAACATCCAAATTTAGACTTAATTTCAAAAATGTAAGATAGATCATGTTTTAAACCACTACATTTGTGGTATTCTGTTACAGCAGCCGTAGAAAACTAATACAAAATAGTAAAGTAGTTAGTCCTATTACCATTTGATATGTGCAGTTGTTTTTCTAACTCTGTCCTACAGTCCTTCTATTTGATGTTAAGTTTTGGGGAGTTTTTGCCACAGTATATTTTATAAGTTGTACTGAACACTGATACTCAAAGTTTTTCAAGTAAATTTATGGGTTCGTATTTTAGATACAAAACTTTGATCTGTCAGTTGACTTTGATGATGCATGTAAGGAAGAATCTACTATGTTTGTTTTTCTCCAAAACCAACCAGGGGAGATTACAGGTTCCTAAGTATGGGTAATATGTTTTATAACTGATTACTCCAGAAGTCTATTTTTTTAACTCAGTTGACACTCAAAAATTATTGCTTTGGAAAAGAATAGTGAATTTTTTGTTTGTGATTCAGTTTGATGACACGATATCAACTAATTTCTCTTCAAACTGAATAAATACAAGGCAGTGCAAGGAAAATGTGAAATATACACAGAAACCAGGAGGACTTGGCCTTCCCTCATTCGTCATTTCTTGATGTCAAGTAAAAGAGCGTAAATTGAAAATTGGATTTTGTTCCTCTACTTCATATCTGAAATAGAGTAGAATAATAATGGCTTTCGTGTCAGGGAGGTAAGTGATTGATTTGGTTGCTTAATTTACTAAGTACCATATCACTTAGGGCAACAAAGGTAAAACCAGACTAACTGATTATTTTTGTCACTTCTAACTCATTCTTGAGGAGGCCTCTGGGGAAAAGCTGCCCAGACGATGCATAGGGATTTCCAGCCTCTGGATTCTACATGTGGACCTTAGTATTCTAGCCATCTCTAATTATTTCACTTCTATTCTGTGTTCATTTATAAATCTCATAGAAAGATGTAAAGAGACAATCTACTTGGTGAATATTGAAAAACAAAACAATCAGGGAAACAAACACAAAGCAGATACCACTAGCTTTTTTTAACTTGCTAAAAATAAAAGGAACAGGTGAAAGCTTTATAGCCTCTTAATCAAGATACAAAGAAGTGTATTGAACTCTAGGCATGATAGTGACTTGGAATTAATCTGTGTTTAGTACAATTTCAATAGAATTAATGAAATGCAAATGTGGAAATGCTACTTTGTGCTTCTCAAAATATTTCACCGAAGTTTAGAAAAAAATGATTAGAAAAAGAACCCTCATTATCAGTGTTTAAAAGGAGTTCGGGGTTTTACAATTGATTCCATTGTGTTCACAAGTTACTGTGAAGGATTTTTTTCCAACAACACACATTCAATAGAAGGCATTTATCTTTAAGGGGAAAAAATAATAATTTTCTGATGAATACTTGGAAACATTAGAATGACATCAATTCTGGTATCTAGTAGTTTGTAAATCCAAACCAGCATAAGTAGGTATCACATAGAAATAAATAGTTTTTCAGCAAAGTGCATACCTAGCCTGATTCAGTAACTGTCATAAAAGTTTACATCATATACACACTGTTCAGGTTTGGGAAATAAATGCCTTTGGTAACTGGCTATATTTTTGGAATAGGAATGTATACTGCCAGCTCAGGAACTTCCATTCCTAAAAAAAATATAAACCCATTTAGCCTATCTCTTTTACTGTTTACAACTAAAATTGGACAAAATACAAAAGCCACTTCTCAAGGACTCTGAACAGTTAACAATAGCAAGCACATTGTTGAGGGGAGCCACAACTTGAAGAATGATCTGTAACCAGACTGAATTTCTTTTTTTTCCCTTTTTTCCTTTTCTCACCCAGCTTGATCTGAGAGTGTTCAGTATGGAGCTGCAGAAGAAGTATGGGAAGAACAATTCTCTGATAAGGCCTGCTGGCCAGATGGACATAGGGGAGCCTCTGCAAGCTGTCACTAGGGGTACGATCACCATTAAATGAAAATAAAAACTGGATGTCTTAGACTAACTTTCATGTAGTGCCTGGCAGAAATATATTTAAATCAAATTAAGAAACTTACCTCCAATTAATGCATTATGAGATTCTTATATATGAAGCTCCACCAAGCTTTTGTAAGCAATCCAAAACTATATATATGAAGAAATGTTCTGACATTTAGAAAATAAATGAAAGTCCAAATTTTAAAAGCAGACTGAAATCCCATGCTTGATTCTAACAAACAAAATCTACACCACATTGTAGTGATACTTCAGAACACTGAAGATAAAGCAAAGCTCTTAAAATAAACCAGCATAAAAAAACAGAAAATGCTATGATAAAGAATATCAATTAGACTGAGGACAGAATTTCCACAAAACAGAAATATTCTAAAAGAGTTGAGAAAAGAAAAACTGAATACATGATTTTCTATCAGTGTAAAACATTATTCAAGGAAGTTATAGAAATATAGACATATACAGATCATCAGAGAGATTATTGCCACCATTACTAGACTTCAGGACCTTTCATGGGTAACTC